AGCGGACCTGGTATAACAGCATTGGTTCAAACGACCATTGCCTTCGCGCTGATCACCTATCCGCAGGGAGCTGGAACGCACCTGTAGGTCTGGCAAGGCACCATTGTAAGCGGTGCAAAGACAGTCTGTTGTGGTCAAAGTGAGGCAGGCAAAGTTATCACTTCCCCGATCAGACGGTACACCAGCGGTCTCAGACATGGGACCCGACCAGTTCTGTGACAACTGTACCTTAGGTTGGAGAGTATGTGGTGACTGAATGAAATCGTCCGGCCAGTCTGCCAGTCGAGCAAAGCTGCCGGGCTGAGATAGTCATTCATGTCGCTGTCGCTTCTCAAGCAAAGCTTCCAACCTGCTGAATTGTTTCTCAAAGGATTGATTCAGCTCTCCCTGCAAATTGGTGAATTGTGTCTTCATTTGCTCAGATTGAGCACCAACTTCTTGTTTCAATTGTGTGAGTTGAGCGTCTTGTCGATTCAATTTGGTCTGCGCATCTTGAATCCATCCTTTCAGAGCACTGTTTTGACTTTTGACTTCTTGAAGCGCACTCTCCAAATGGTCAAGCCGTCCAGATTCAGTGTCTGACATAGCTCCTCCAGCAGGATGGCTCTCAAGCTCTTTGCGTACGGCATTTTGCACTTCTTGTTGAAGTGTGCCCTTGATCTCCTCAATGCGCTTGGCTGTAGTAGGTGGTGGTAGCGGAGCTGATGTGGAGCTGGTTGCTGCATATTTGGCCCAAGGATCATTGTGATTCAACCATGGGTCCTGATCTTCCTTTGTCGTGGAAGGTGCTTGACGCAGATGCTGTTGGGTCTTCTTAGCCAGGAAGATCTTCGGCCTCAACTGTTCTACCTCCACTTTGCGCACTGGATTGATCAGTACGTCGGATTGAAATGCCTGCAGCACACGAGCCGGAGGTTCTTCTTGTGCGCCTACCTGCCATGACATGTGAAAGTGTGATCCACGTCCTGGCTGGAGAACACGGCAGTTCCAGTTCCATTCGCGCATCACCTTTTCCATTGTCTTCTTTTGCGTACCGTGTGGCACCGGAGATACTTCGAAGATCTGCTCGATTTTCACAGGCTGAAAATGTTGATCCGGCTTGAGTTCAGCCCATGCTTTAGCTTCATCGATCTTCTTGACCCTGATACCATATCTCTGACGATGTCGGACGATGGACAGCGCATAGGAGCAGGTTCGACTCATGCGCTCGACTTGTGTGAAGTCAACCTTGTTGATCCATATGACACAAAAGTCCGGATGTGCAACTCTGAAGTCATCGGTGCGAGGGTCACTGTAAAGACCTGCCGGATTGTTCGAGACCAGGCTCAGGATGATGGCGGCTGGAGTCCGTACCTGGAATGAGAATTGATCTGCCTCAAGGGGTGTCTTTTTGGTTCCTGCAGCCGTGGTGAAGTGTCGTCCCCAAAGTTCCAGGATCACCGCTTCGTATGTTTTGTCCACATCAGGATGTGTCTTCTTACAGGCAGAGCCACAGTTCTTGCCGTCACAGTAGTTCAAGGGCTCAAACATCTTCAATATTTCGCGAACTGGAGCTTCAGTGAAGGTCTGCCAACTTCCTTGGAACTGATCCCTGTAAAGGGTGTACCGGATGATGACCGTGGGCAGGACAGGTTGCTTGGAGACAGAGCCTGCAGTCGCCCTGTCGATGGAGATATCACCGATGCAAAGCAGCGCACCGAAGATCAACACTTGTTCTCCTGTAACTTGGTATTGCGCCGGGAATCTCATCTTTGTCGCACCTGACTTCAACATCACATCTGGCTCTGGTGGTTCAAGTAGAAGCAGTCCAAGAGCATGCGGGCTGATTGATTTTGGTGCCATCAGAAAAGCTGTTGCCTCCTGTATGGTGCATATGGCCAGACCATGTTGATCCGCCTCAACTTGTGAGAATTGAAGTTGTGGAACTGGATCTCCGTTTTCGTCCTTGAACATCTTGGGATCCAGCACAAGTTGCGAAGGCACCAGTCGATCAGTGATGTCATCTTTGGAGGATGCTGGAGCACTCTTTTCCTTCTTGTTCTTGTAGTCCTTGATGTGCGCACCATGCTTTGTGGAGGCTCGCATCTCAATGTATTGCGCCTTCTCCTCGTCAGACAGGATGCGCAGGGAAATTCCTGGCTTGCTGGCTGCATTTTTCAGAGCTGCCCAAGGATTCTTGTCTGCCAGGATCTTCACCACCGTAGGGACTCCAAGTCGTTGAATGATGGTCTGTGCTCTTGCAACTTTTGCTTCAGCGAGAACTCCCCTGCTGTGTATCAGGGCGGCAAGTTGTGCTTGGATGTCAGGTCCACTTCCAATCAGCTGCCAACTTAGAGTTGTAGAGACAGAGGCATTTTCAATTGCTTCTTCCGCCAAGGATCTCTGTGCCAAAATCCTTAGATACAGATTGTGTGCATCTTGCTCCGTAAAGTCAGCTGATGGGTAGAGGAAGTTCACCACATTGAGAAATGCCACCGCACCACAGTGTGTCCCAAAGGTCTGGCCGATGCCGTGGGTCAAATGGATGTGGTACATGTGACAGTGGAGCGCCTTGCTGACACGGGCAAAGAAGAGGTCCATGTAAGAAGAGACCTCCTCAACTTGGCAATCAACAATGAAGACATCGAGCTTGTTGTCGTGATGGGTCACTAAAAATGCACTCCAATGATTTGCCTCCCAAAGAATGCCAAAGCGACATCCTTGGATCTCTCCCCCTTTCAGCCATTTGTGCAGGATGCGCTGATGGGCCTCGTGTGGCCAAAGCTCCGTGATATCTACAATCCATCGTGCTGTCCAAAAGAGGTGAGGATCAATGCATTGGAGGTGCAAGAACCGAAAGACAAGCAGCTCAACTTCAGCTTCATACAGTCCTGCTGATGTAGGAAATGCATCATCGTGCGTGCCTCTTCCCTCAAGACTCAAGCGCAAAGGCCAGCATGGGAAAGTGTTCTTGGTCAAAGCAATGAAGCTACCTGGAAACCAGATCCGAGTGTCCAGTGGGACCCTTTCTCCATCAGCATTGACAACGAGGGCAGGTCTGCTGTCCAAAACCTTGTCAACGAAAGTGAAAAGCATGTTGCCTCGTGGCAAAATCGCGATATGACTGAGCCCACAAATCTTGATTTGAATGATCAGATGTGCTATCTGAACTTCAGTCTTGCTCTTCTTGGGCATGTGTTCGAGACGAAGACCATCGAGATGGCAGCTCAGTGAACTCAGGTCGTCAACCGATTGATCATCAGAGAACACCTGCACTGTATGTCCCCAAGCAAGATTCATTCGCTCTGCTTGCACCAGATCAGCAACGGATGCTTTGTCGTCAAAGCGGAGAGACCAGGAAGGCTCATGTTGGTGCTCGATGCGCAGGATGTGCTGTGCATGGCTTGGGGCTTTCGAGAATGCCAAGATGCGTTCTTTGTACTCTTCCAGGATAAAGGCTGGATCCAGAGGAGCAATGTCTTCATCAGTGCGAGAAGCTGCCAATATGACATGTCCCATTACCCAAAGAATTTGGAGTGGTGCAGCGACTAGCCCTACCAAACAAAGTGCCTGCTTCTGATCAGAAGGCAGTTGCAAATCCGGTGGCAGTGCAAACAAAACTCTCAGCTCATCAGCGTGAAGGTATCTCGGTGCAGGGTGGTCTGGAGAGACCACGAAACATCCTCTGAGGCCCTTAGTGACTAAGCTGGCGAGTGCAAATCCTGCTTTCCTGCATCCGCAAGGACAACCATTCAGCGGTGAGCCGTACGAGTGTAGTATCGTACAGCATTTGTCCTTAGGACCTAACTGCCGCTTGTCCTGACCGAATCTTGCGTCCAAGTAGCAATCTAGTTCATACTGGCTCAAGTACAATTCGTGCATTCCATGATGTGTGGATGGCAAGAAGGAGGGCAAAACATCTTGAATGGATTGGTGATGGCGATCAATACCCCATGGTGGAATGCGGGGTGGCAAGTTTCGAGCATCAGACAAAACACAAAACCACCTCAAACGATTCATGGGCCATTGATGACCTAACTCCAAACAAATTTCCCTTTGCTCCCATCCAAACCGGTCACACAGCTGTTGCAGGTGTTTACGAACTGTTTGATTTTCAGCAGCAAGTGGCACGCACTCTAGAAAAACAAGTCGTGGTTTTAGGCACTTGATCGCAGTGACAAGTCCTTCAAATGCACCAAACCTCAAATCATCTGTGCCTTGCATTAGACCCTGTCTCGAAAACGGCTGGCATGGAAAGCCGGCCGAAAGGCAAAAACCCTCCACCCCTGCTTGGATCAACGTGTCATGAAGCAGAGTGAGGACCTTAGGATCACTGATGTCTCCCTGGATGGTGATTCCGTTTTTCAGCTGCCTCAAGTGACTGCAGGCAAGATCTCCAATGTCAAGTGAGGCAATCGTCTGAAATCCCAAGGCACTGAAGGTGCGTCCTACAGCACCTGTCCCAGCGAAGATATCGAGCAACCGAGGCACAATGGAACCATTCGGGGAGAAAACTGGGAAACATTTGCATCTTGATGCATCAATGACCGAAGGCATGTCATCTAAGCAGCAAGGCTCATAGCAAATGAAATGGTCCAGATCGGAGGTCAGTCCAATGCAGGTCCAGTACTGCCCAGTCTCAAGATCCATGAACCTCTCAGGATCACCGGGGATCCTTCGCAGCTCTATTGCGGGCCGTCGATGGCCCTTCCAAATCGACATGACGCTCGAGGGCTCAATTTGCTGGGCACAGCCCAGCCAGCTGGTAGGCTTGAACCAAGGGCTCTTCACATGTTGTTTAAAATATGTTCTTTCTTGATGTTCTTAATTGTTTTTTTTGCCGGCTCCCCCCCCTGCCTACTTAATTAAGTAGGCGCCTACTTAATTATTAAGTAAGGAAGCAAGCTACTAGCTACTAAGACGCTACTTGCATGGACGCAGGATCACGCTCGCACGAATCATTTGGTTCCTAGAATTGTGGGAAATTGTTGTCGTTTTCTGAAGACAATTGGCTCCAAGAGGTTTCACATGTCCAGCCACCTGGTGCTGAATCTCTTCTTGCTGGCTCCGCTGCTGGCTGTGGCCAACCTCATAGGCACTTGCATTTGGATTTGCCGCGGCTACAGCATACACAGTCAGGACCAGGGAACAGTTGTGAAGCAATAGCTGCCCTTCCAAGGAAGAATCACACCGCACCTGCGAGGAACTATCTCCTAACTGGTGTAGGACAGTTCGGGTGTGAGAGATTATACAAACTCGCATCTCTGCCCGAGTTACAAATGATTTTGCAGCTTTGCCCTTTGCCCTTTCATTTTCACGAGGAGGGCCGACAACGGTTTTTCCAACAGATGGTGGACCTTTGGGTACGCCTCAAGAGCATTTGCTGTCGGGGCAGCAGGCTGGGCATGGCTTATTAGAAACAAGAAGCTATTAGGAACAAGTGCATCGCTACTAGTAACAAGTGCCTTACTAGTAGTAACAAGAAGCGATTAGGCTGGGCATGGCTGGGCTGTTCAGACCCCTCTGATTAGATGCCCAACACACCATGACAGACCCTGCCGAGTGCGGGCTTGGCACTGTCGAGCGCCAGTCTTTTGGACTGGTCCCGCCCCGTGTGCCCACGTGCTCCGTAGGTCGTTGGGTGGATTTGTTGTGGCCTTCATCTTGATCTATTTCATCTTTCTTGAGATTAAATGGTGGCAGGCCGGGACGTCTAATAGCCTCATGCTGGGCCCGGTGGCCATACTGGTCGGCTTTTCGATTACCAGCAGCTTGATTTTGTGCTTTGGCTGCATCGAGCAATTCCTCGGGGGCAAAGTTTGGACGGTGAAAGAAGCCAAGCCTATCCACCGGACTGGCCAATGTTATGGCCATAGCAGTGCAACAGTGTGGTTTCGCATGTCACGTGAAGGTACTGGCACCATGCAGCGAAGCTCCGGAGCGCTCTACAAGGCCATGGCGCTGGTCACATGGATATCGAGACAGAGCATGAGCTTAGCTGTTGTGGGTGCCGCTGCTTTCTTTGCTGCCTGTGGCTTGGAGATGGAAAATAGTGCTAAGAACAGATGTTGACCCCAGCCGAGTTTTGTGATGTGTTCTGTCAAGGTCCTGTGCTTCTCATTACATCCTGAGTATTTTAGAATGAGCTTTTGGCAGGGTTTGATGGAAAAATAGAGACTGTTGTTGTTGGCCGTGACCTTGTTGTTCAATAGTCAAGCTAACTTTAATACTGTCACTGCAGGGTAGGGATTTTCCCAGCTATGGCGTGTCTGATCGATTTGGAGATTCCTTGTCGTGAGATAATTTGGTTCCGTGTGGATTTTGTCACCAGCTGTATGATGCTGTATGTTACCGCGATGATCGGATAATTAACACCTTATTTATAGGATGTTATCTCGGAAAGAACTTCACCTCCGACCGGAGGTGCTGTTGCAATCCTCTCGGCTGCTGCTTTCCCATGGAAGTGCTCAAGTCCAACGACCATCCCCCAGCTTCCCGGCTCAAGAAGCTAGTAGCTAAGTTCATTAAAGGTGCATCGCTACTGGCAAGGACGCTACTAGTAGCTGAGTGCATTACTCTTTAGAATCCCAGCTTCGCGGCTGAAAAGTTCTTGTGGAATCTTTTCAGTCCATTCCACACGGCATCGAACCGACCAAGGCAGAAAACACGACTGCACAGAGCTCCACTCTGTTGGGAATGCCGTCGCTGTTCTTCAAAGAGGATTCCGAGTCCAAACAAGAAAGAGCGACAGCCATGAGCCGGCTGGGACACCCAGTTACTACTAGGAACAAGTAGCTACTAGGGGCTCCTGGCATCGCTACTCGGAGCAAGGACGCTACTAGGGGCTCTTGGCCTTACTACTAGGAGCAAGAAGCTACTAGTAACAAGGACGCTAGTAGAAACAAGTGCATCGCTACTAGTAACAAGTGCCTTACTAATAGTAACAAGAAGCTACTAGGAACAAGTGCATCGCTACTAGGTCCGAAGGTTCTCCGTTCACGGCTTCACAGGTATGATGAGCTCTCACTTGACTCGAGTAACTCCATGGAGACTCAGAGCATGCTTTGGCTTTCCAAGCTCTTTGTGGCAGCAGGCTCCAACCGAAGGTCACACATCATCAATCTTTCAGCCACTCAACTTAAGAAGAAGATGCTCACATCACAGAAATGTACTCAACAAGTGTGCTCTTGAGATTTTCTGATTGTAAAGCAATTCTATTGGATCGCGCTCGCCAGCCGCAATCTTGCGAGAAAGTGACCGAGAGAATTGGATGCACTGGTTTGGGCTGTCAAGACCAGCTGCCCATCTTTAGGTGATGATCTATTTGACGTTTTGGTCCTTCATGTTGGCTGGCACCAGCTGGGCATATCAGAATATGAGCTGCCAGGCTGGAGGACAGAAGTCGAGGTTTCAGAAGATGTTTGAAAGTTTGGAAATTCTTGTTTCTAATAGCTTCTTGTTCCTAGTAGTAAGGCCAGGAGCCCCTAGTAGCGTCCTTCCTGCTAGTAGCGATGCCAGGAGCCCCTAGTAGCGTCCTTGGCCACCTCAGGTTACGGCCACCTCAGTTGGTGGCCGAATTTCCTCCAACTGAACCGTTTGGAGCAGCCTGGCATGATTTAGGCAATGTTTGAGATGGCGGCATTGCAAGGCATCAGCTTTGAGAAATTCCATGGGTTTGTTGAGTTTGCTCGGTGTGGCACTTTTTGGGGAAGTGCTGCTGTCTCTTTTTTTATGAATTTGAAGAATTGAATTATTTCGCTTAAAACTGAGATGGCAAAGGCAAAACCCCTTCAAGAACTACAGTGCAGAGTATTTCCTCGTGAGTGAAGATATGAAGACAGTGCTTGTGCCCGAGTATGTCCTCCCTCCAACCTACGAGGTCACGGTTGATGGCATCACTTGGAGATTAAAAATTATTCACGATCACTTGACACAAATCATGCCCGTGCTCGACAATTTGGGAGACTTCAGCTCAAGGCCCACATAGGGTTCACACCATCCACACCCCGCGCACCGCCACAGAATCCTTAGGAAAATCGCCGGTCAGTTCTGGGATAGGTCTTCCTGTATGGACAACCTGAACATGGTACTGTCCAGACTTTCAAACGGCCACACACAAGTAAAAGAACAGTGAAAAGCGGGAAGGTCTTGAGCAAGAATGGAGAGTACATCAATCAGGAACCCACATTGGCATGTACCCAGCATATTGTGCTGATTGCACAAAGCTCGGGCCCCCCGGGTGAGTGTGTAGTGGTCATTGCGATAAGTTGGTGTTGGTGTATTTTATTGGAGATTGATTTGTGATTTACGGAGAAATGAAGAAGACTCCGGATGGGGTGTTTGATGGTGTTTGGGTGTTTGAGACGTTTGAGACTTAGTTTTGTGATTCACTCTCCACTTGTGGCAGGATCGCAATCTTCCCATCTTGCCTGGCGCTTCATATCTTCTCGCTGGTTTTCGGCATATGGTTCCACTTTCAGTGCAGCAAGCAGCGACTCAAGGATTGGTTGAGATCCTTTGGATCCAGAAAGCAGTGGCAGAGCTTGTACGAACCTTGTAAGATATTGGAGTTGTGGTCAAAAAAAAATAAAGCAAGTAGTTAGTTCGTGTTGTTTCATGTTGTTTCAACGATTGAAGAGCTTCTTGGAAACTTGGGTTCTTATTGACCGTTACATGTGTCTCATTTGACATTGATAATTCTGCTCTCATGGATTGCAGCCCTGGTTCCTCTCTTGATCTGGTTAACTCGATGCAGAAAAAGAAGTACCACTGCAGAGTTTGGCAAAACTTTATGAGATTGATGCTAGTTTCGTGCCATTAGGATCCCATGCCAGATCACGAATCCTCCTCAGAGCATGAGGAGACTCAAAGCGCAGATCGCGTGGGCGCGCAGCGACACGGAGCGACATGGAGCGACATGGACACGAAGAAAGAACTCTTAAGACAGGATGTTACAAGTCACTGGTTTACAGCTGAAAACACTGTAGACTTACACTATGGAATGTTTGGTCATGTTTGATCAATGTCTACATGTTTCAGAAATTGAGGGCGGGTTCTGCCAAACAGAAAAAAACATCAATATATGAATAGATCTAGTCCGAGCTTCCAATGAGGCTGACAGGTTGAAAGGAACCGACATTGAACATGGTCGAAAAAACTACATCACTATTAAGTCTCACTATGTTACAGTCACATTGCTTATGGTCGTATTGTGTGTCTTCCATGCCATCAGAATCATGGTGAAATCCACCCAGGCTTAAGGTTGGATGTTACAGGATCTTTAGACTTGTTCTTTTGGAAGTATGTGGAAGGCACATTGGGCCGAAATTGGCGACAGGAGATCGCAGGGTTCGACGTCCAGGATCTGAATATGGCCGCATTCCCCAGTTGTTCAGAAGCCATGATCCAGGTGGTGGTGCATTTGGTGACCATCCTAGCCACTGGGTAAGCAGAGAAGCGAGAAGCGATACACTTATCAAGTGAAAAAAGCATTGAGCTGAACTGAACTGCTCATCCAACACAGAGAGGCGACTGGTCAACTTTGTTTTACTCGGCCCAGATACTCCACGCGCACAACAACCACTGACCAATTTGCGGTGTTGGATTGTAGCGACACCATGGCGAAAGTAAACCCATCTAACCTCAAATACATCGGTCCCGCTCAGAGTTTGGTCGCCAGTCCTGACCCCAGGTGTCGCTGCTTTGCTTGAGCTCCTATTCGTGGGTGGCACCTCACAAACACTCCGCAGATCTCCATGGATTTGTGGTGCATTCGCATTCGTTGGAACATGCCCGTTTGCCATTCATCGCCTCGCACATGCAAGTGGTTTATTTGCTGATCCTGAGCTTCAATCGTTTTCATTGCTTGCCTTACTCCGAAAGTACGCCCCACACGCCTTTCTAACCTTCAGGGATGTGAAATGGAGCAATAGCTATTGGATTCTGGCGGCTGTGTAGTGTGGGCGAATTATGTCTTTCTTTTTCACGTTTTGTCCGTTGTGTGCAAAGTGTTGTACTTCGTGGCTGTTCTAGGATGAGCACGTGCGGTGCCATTTTGGCTCAAGCTACCTTGATCCCTGCGGTGCTCCTCCTTTGTTCTCCAATACAGGGGATGAGCTAAGCCAGGGAGGTCGGAAGCCACCAGAGCCAGTGGGGCCACCTCCTGGGGCAGGTGACCGTGGCCAACAAAGAGGGCTCCTGAGGTGGCCAAACACCAGCGGGCGCGCGGTCTGAGTTGCAACACGTGTCACTGGCTTTGAGAAAGATAGAACAAATTCCGACCAGCCGAGAAAAGCCTCATTGAACGTTAGCCCGGAGCAGCTACTAGGTCAGCCGGGGTGGGGTCCGGAAGGCAGCCAGGGTATGGAGGCAGCACACAGCTGATTCCAGATGGCCTGAAATTTTGTGCCGTTGATTTTGTGCAAGCTTTGAAGCTGGACCACCTGCTCAATTTCCATAGTTCTCGGAAGTCGGATCATAGTCAGCGATCCAAGCATTTGCCTTGCAAGACCGGCTGTTGATGGCTAGGCTGAGGGCGCTGGCTGAACGGCGTGCGCGGACCAAAGAGAAGTCAACCATCAAACTCTTGCATGCTCAAACGCACATACGCACGACAATTGGGGCAAACCTAGAACAGCTCTAATGCGGCTGTTGGGTTTGCGCTACTCAGTAGAGGACACCGCGGTCCCTAAGTTGTGTCTTACGGGCATGCCTATTGCTGGCGACATGCTTGAGTCGCCCTGCTTTGACCCCTGTGAGACTTTGAGATTCCGGCTGCGGTGGCCGTGAGGGAGCTCTTGACATCAGCGCCCAAAAGGAGATTTGCGGCAATCAAGCGTGTCAGCTACATGAACTATCGGTGCCAAGGTTGTTATCTATGGCAAGACGTTGAAGGAAGTGAGTAAAGGAACAAGTGGTCGCGAGGCATGGCGAGGACTATAATACCTAGTTTGGGACGTCCTCAGAGCAGTCACACATCTGGCGATGTCAAGTACCGCCGAATTGACGACCACAGTGCTGGATACACCAACTTACGGCAGCCACAAGGAAACGGCAGATCACTATGGCCATGGTTGACTATCTGGTGGTCATGGCAAAGTCCTTTTTCGAGGAGCAGCGTGAAGTCTTGCACATTGGAACAGAAGACATGCAAGGAGCATATCGTCAGATTCCCTTGCCCAATAGCCAGGTTGGCATTGTGGCCACAGCAGTTTACAACCCTCATGTGAAGCAGGTCAACCTGGTTGAAACTGATGGTTAGCCAATCGGCGGGGGGCGCGCTGTGCCCAACTTCTATCGAGTGGCAGACCCGTCAGAACCGTTTGATGGTTTGAGGGTTTCACGTTGTCATGGGCCACTTCTGTGCCGACTTCTTCCTTGTGGAAAGGGTAGACCTTGCGGCGGAATGCGTGTTCTAACGCATGCTCTGTGCGCGCGCAAGGTTTGGAACTCCTGTAGGCTTTGCGTAGGAGAACTTCGGGCTCTTGATTGACCACATCTTGCAGCAAGACTTCTTGCCTCCATCAGTTGCAGCAAGTGCCCTTGGAAAGTTCGGCCTCTTTTGCAGCACACTCTTCGGTAGTCGTTTTCGTGCAGGCCATGTGAGAGCTAGACAACATACCAATGGTGGCGCGCCCGGCCTCACGCCAGATTTTGTTTGTTGCTTGAAGCTCATGAAGTTCCTCGTTGGATCATCCCCAGCTCCTACTAGTTGCCTGCGTTCCAAGTCTTCCCCACTTCTGCTATATCTTAGCCAGTCCGGTAGCGTTGGCGACTTGGAAACTAGGTTTGTTGGAGCGCCAGCAAGTTATCCAATTGGGGATTACGGCGCACACACCGTCGATTGTCGACATCTATATCGATCACGTCGAGTCCAAATCAAACCTTGCCGATGGCACAAGCCGCTTGGACTTCAAGCACATGACCCTTCTGAACGCCCAATGTACAGAGTACAGGGCCGGTAGTTAGTTTGTTATTTTCTGAGTGTCCTTCTTGGGCTTGATCGCTGCATTCCCGCAATTACCCAGTCGATGGCAAGTCTGCAGCGGAGGGGAAATCATAGCCATCTATGCGTTGGGAGTACTTCCCGTCCTCCGTCAGGGTCTGGGTTGGTTCGCCATCAGCGAATCAGCGCTCAGTGGTTTGAGTGTCCGAGCTGCCATCGCGATGATCATTCCCGCCGGAGAACCAAAGAGAGAATTGCGAGCAACGGGGGGGAGGAGCAGTTGTTGCGCAAAGATTTTGTATTTAGTGGCTGTTCTAGGACGAGCCCGCGCGTTTTGGATCAAACTACCTTGATCCCTGCGGCGCTCCTCCTTTGTTCTCCCACCCTCCCAGCCCTGTTGAGAAGAGGGGTTGCCGGAATCTCCAATTCCCCTTCAGGGTCTGAGTTGGTTCTTGGTAGTCCGGACAACAGTTCATCAACCATTCCCACCGACAAAACAGAAGAGAGAACTGCGAGTGATGCGGGAAGGAGCGATTCTCAATGCACCGCGTCGGTTAAGAATTGCCTTTCGTAATTAATGGTTTCGTGAAAGTGAATGTGCCTAGAGACCTTTTTGGAGCCTTTCTTGGTGTCGACTCTTCAAGGATTTGGTTCCCGATAGTGCCCTACCGCCTGGTGAATGGGCTCTTCCTCTCAGCTGACTACAGGCAAGTAGCCGCTAGTGAGCTGCAAACTTAGCATCAAGTAAGCAAGAAAGTGCAAGAGCGTCAAAAGAGATAATGTCAAGGTTGACATTGCAATCAAGAATGTAATGCGTCATGTATGGTCAACAATGACAAGATGTGCGGGAGAAAAACCCAATAGAAGATTTCTAGTCGAAACTCAGAAGCTCGATCTGAACTGAAATGGTCGGTTTCACGGCCAATACAAGTCACTTTTTCGATCTAGTCAAGCCAGTTGGCACAAGCTTGGCGGAGGCATTTGGTAGGGAAAACTACGCAATGTTTCTATAGCATTGAGGACAGAATTTTAGCCAGGGTCACGCAGGGGTCACAAAATAAAGTCATCCAAGTTATCCTGGCGAAATCTATCTTACCAAAAAACAAATCCAGCTGGATGTAGCTGCTTCACGTGTTTTCATGCCGCTCTGAACGCTTGAGGGAGAATATATAATTAGTTTTGCTGAGTACTTGACAAGTCCAACGAAAGGTCATGTGGCGCCGTCAAGTGGCTTTGGTAGCGTTGTTACTTCATAAAGCTCTTAGCAGGACTCAGAGATGCCGCCGCAAGAAGTCAAAGAGCGTTTGGAGATCATCGAATGGAAGGTCCGCGATATCCAACACGTGCCTCGAGCGAGCAAGGGGACAGTTGCAGGGGTCGTGCAAATGTTCAAGTTGGATTATGTTTGGTTGCCAACATCTGCGATGTGCAAAGGCCAGCCTTCGAAATAGTGGATTCGTCCCCTGATTTTGCAGCACCAAACTTGGGAATCCGATCGCTCTCTCATGCGGTGCATGGTGAGACTGATGTTTGATCGACCAAGTTGGCTGAAGCCGAGGAGTGGTTTTTGATCCAACCAGCCTGCCTCATTTTGGATTTGATGGCTTTGGTCTCAGGGCTTTTGGCCATCTTCCGCTTGGTGATGCATTGGGAGATCTACGTGCTTTGGATACAATCCGAAAACGGAGAATCCAGCATCTAACAGCGTACTTGGTCAAACTGGCACGTCAGACTGAGTTTCCTCTCGTTCTTTCGGGATTCTCCCCTGGACGCAACCAAGGATTTGGTGCCCCTTTTGGCCGCCAATTGCATCACTTTACTAGTCTTTGCATCCGGGCAGAACAGAGAGTGGAGAAGGTTCTGAAATCGATGACGTTCAATGACTCAATCATGTTTGTTTGTCGAGTCATCTACTGTGTGTGGAGGTTCAATTTCAGGAATCGTGTGGCTTCAAAATGACACGGTCGTACTCTTTCTCGGGACATATTCAAATTCTTATTCCTTCCTTTATTGATTCTTCATGTAAGGTGGTGGTCGAGCTGAAGCCCACCGTCGATTGGAATTCCTTTTTGGCTTCGTACCAAAAGGGTAAAACCAACGTGGACACCGTGCCGCGAAGAGCGATTCGCGGTGCGACGCTGTGCAAAGTGGTTGTGGTGGTTGCGGTTTCAAACTGTCTCTTTTCTTCCTTTGTTTATCTTTGTTTCTATGAGCGATGGCCTTGAGTTAGACTGACTAACCGCCAAAATTTGACCCGATTCTTCCTCTCATGAAAAGTGAAGACCGATGATCCAAGGTGCTGTTTATTTGGCTCAGTCAAGGCTTTTTGAATGCGAAGATGCTGGGCTTGACCTTGACTCCCGCCTACTTTACCGGTCTGGCCTTGTCAGCAGTGATCTCTTTAACCACTGCTGCCTTCCAGAAATGTTATAAAGAAATCGTTGTGGTAATAAGTCATTGATAGGTCTCCTAGGAATCTCCTATAGGGTTGCTTTTAGAAAGTTAGAACTAAAACCTCGAGGTGTGTTATGAGTTTTCGAGCGGGGCTGAAAGTCAGTATTGCCTTCAGAAATGGTTCCTTGTAAAGCTAAAACCAGGCCTTGAGGAATCTGATGAGTTCGTGGCAAAGTTCCGCAACTCACATCAGCGGCAAAGCTCCCGCTGAGAGGTTAATGTCAATGAGTCCATTGACTCAATTGCTCAGTTTAGGAGTGCCAACAAACTGGCGATGGCCTCCAACCCAAGAGCGATGGCCTCCAATCTACTAGCAATTGCTCGGTTTAGGAAAATGGGAAAGAGTCTTGCGCTTAGCCCCATTTTTCATGCTCCACGTTTGGCCCTGGGCTGTGGTTGTCTCATATCTCCAAAGTCCCACTGGTATTGTACAAATCGGATTCCGTTCAAGATTTGTTTCATCAAATAGCAAATATGATATGATATGATGATATGATCCACTCGATGAAACGGGAGGGGCTGCGCATATAATGTGAATATGTACATCAACGACAACTTTGCACGTGTAGCGAAGATATGCAAGAAGAAAGAAAGAAGGGTCTAAGAGTTTCGGCTTTTGAGGCATGTTTTGTTATTTTTCTGCATGAAAAAATTCAGTCATGCATGATACCATGAGTTGCGTGTGCGTATGCATGGCTTCCTTTTGCACTTTGCAGTCCAAGGGACCACCCGGGACCAGCCCTGTTTTGGCAGCGCTGCCAGTCACACTCTGTGACTAAAGCAAAACATATAAAAGAGGGCTGACACAAAGGTCGAAAAAAGATATCAAAGAAGTGTGCGGGCAGTGGGCAACCAGTACTTGTAGGCCGCTGCTGTTCCCAAGCCCAGATGTGGGAACAACAATGAGCGGGGTGGCCTAGAAGCGATGGCCTCCAACCTAAGCGATCCATCTCCAAGCAGCTTTGGCTCAAATGAGTGAGATCAAATTCGCGGCATTTGGCCCAACCAAACACAACATTGGCTCTCACAAAACAGTTTTGGACGGAAATCTGTCATAGGCCATAGCCAACAGAGTTGAATCAATCCTTTCATCTTCAAAAAGCAGCTGAAGCGGCTGAAATTTTGGATTATAAAGGAGTATCAAGGAAGCGTTTTAGATTTGTGCCTATGTGGTCTCATGTCCTCACGTCATATGTCTCACGCGCAAGACGTAATCTCAAGGCTTCCAGCAGGTTTCAGGATGTACCTGGACTTGCGCGCTTGCTCGCCTAGCAATGTTACGATATGATTTCGAGAATGAGGACGTCAACTCCTTTGCTGCTTGATTGGTGTGGCTGTAAGCGCGCTGTCATGATGAAAGATTGAACATAAAAACCTTATACATTGGGAGCCGTCTGAGGTAATCAATTGGCGAGGTGTCAAAGAGTTTGCACAAATGAGCACTGATCGACTCGATCTGCTTGAAGTCAGCTGGCCGGTGAAGACCCCGGTCTCGTTATTTCGGTAAAACGCAAAGACCCCGGTCAGAAGTCCAGAAGACCCTTTAGGCACACCTTTGATCATGGTCTTCATTAGCCTGTAAGTTGGAGGACTGTGAAATTACCCCTTTTCCACCAGGACTTCGAGAAGCAAATCCGCTCCTCCGCATACGCGTGCAAAGATGACGCCGCGAGCTGAGAGTGCAAGTTGTTGATGATGTTTGTGGTTTGCGCTCGGGTATGTAACTATCCGTTCACCTGAGGAAAATGTTGCCGGGATGCCCTAATTGGTATGTTGCTAACGGCCTCAGGCTGTCAGGTCCTGGTGCTGGAAGGTATTTTCAAAGCTAGCCCACAAGGGCCAAGCACCAAATCACCAAGCCAGTTGACAGGCTACTACAGCAAAGCTCAGAGAGTTTCTGAGATCCGACACCATCGGCACCTTCGCGCAGTGGGGCATGGGGACAATTTGCAAGGTCCCGGCGAGGTCTTGATTTCGATATCAATGCTCCAAACTAGAGGCCATCGCTACTAGGTTGGTAGCCATCGCTACTAGGTTGGAGGCCATTGCTAGTAGGTTGGAGTTAGGTTGGAGGCCATCGCGACTGAGAGTCAAAAGGGTAGTCATGGGAAGTGCTGCGGTCTTCGTGCCTGTTTTTTGCTGGTTTTGTTTCCACAAAGGGACTGTTCTACGGTACTACAGGGAAGTAAAGAAAGTGCTGTTTGGAAGTTTGCGAAGCCAAGATTTCTTTTACGAGATCGCTTTGTGAGGGGAATGCCTTCAGTCCTCTTTAGGCTGCAAAGTGCTGTAGGTTCCAAACATTGGCTCCAGGCTAGATGGGCCCTCCCTCACCCAGCGATCTTCACCTAGTTTGGTTATCCCAGATGATTTGTGGAGGAATTTATACAATTTGATCTTTTTTTCGCAAACCAAATTTGTGGAATTTGGATGGATTCGGGATTCGACGCCTTAGGCGTCGATCATGTGGTCAAGACGCCTTTTGGGTTTCGGCGCTTGGTCTACAGCGATTTCACCGCTTCGGGCCGGGCCTTGCGATGGGTGGCCACCCGGCACAAGACGGTCGCACGAGGCTTTCAGAAGCAAATGTTGCGCGATGTTGCGCAGTAATATTTAGGACAAATGTTTATGAAAAAAAAATATTTTCTTGTATGTTTAATCCTTTTTCCTCCAAATGTTCATCGCTATTAGGTTGGAGGCGATCCCTTTTAGTATCAAAATGAGCAATTGAGCCGTGGATTGGTCCAGGCTTCCCTTTTCAGATGAAGGTGTTTCTTCTCATGTACGGCCCATGTTCTTTTAAACCTACCCTCCCCAAGACTAAAGACTTATTATTAGTATTACTATATTATCCACTATTGTCATTCAAGACCTCAACCAAGAAGAGAAGGAGAGTTGAGGAAGTTGCATGTTGAAACCTCGGGTTAGAGACCGAGGAGAAGTTCATCCAAGATCGAATCCTTCCTGCTTATGGCAACACTCACACACTGTCCACTGCCACCGCTCGGCAGTCGACCTTCTTTCGCTGCTTGGAATTGTTGCGCGCTCTAGTGCAGAGGTTGTGGAGGATGGTCCCCACCGAGATTCCTGAGGAGTGCGAGTAGGTCCTTGAAATGTGGGTTGCTGTTATATATATATATATTGGTTGGGCTCGTAGCAAGTGCAAAGACCAAGGAAACGAAGCCAGGCAGATTGTGAAGCACTACTTGAACGACTCTTGGAACCCTTAAAATGTTGCAGAGTGGGGTCGGTTGAGATCGTTGGACCATTGTTGAACCCAACTGTCCAACTGTTTTTTAAAGCCCACTCACCCCCTGCCTACTTAATTGAGTAGGCGCCTACTTAATTAAGTAAGCTACGAGACTAAGTTAGCTTCTAGGTAGGACGCAGGATAGCTCATGTTTGAAGAAGCGCTCGCACTAATGATTTGTTCCTAGATGTTTAGGGAAGCTTAGGTAGTGCTCGCATTTCTATAGGGTGAATGGCTGGATGGCTTTGGTGTCTTCGGGAGCTTGGGCCGATCGAATCCGCACTGCCTTAGCAATGTGCATAAATCCTTCAAATTTGGGATCTGTGCTGTGGACAACTATTTTGCTGCAGGAGCTGTCTCTACTCTCAACCTCAAGTCTATTTTTACAACCTTGGCTAGAAATATGTTTTTCTCCAGCACAACTATATAGTAATTCTGTGGCCCCCATTTCGTAACAGAGAAAGAAGAAGAAAGTCAGATGGTAAAAAGCCCAGGAAAGATCCCCAACAGCTGGGCATCACAATCCGCATACTAGGCAGTGGCACACCAACAAGTGTCGTGTCTTTGCTAGACAACACTTTCTTGAGAAGTGTGAACCTTTCAATGTGCCACGTGAGCATGCCAACACCAACACGTCGGCATAGTACATATCATGTGCCCACATATGTGCAAGCACGACACCACTACAACTACAAGCAAGAATCAGCAAACCTCCTACCCGCTTTGGAGTTTGCCAGCAAGTCAGCGCAACTGCGTGACCCGACTGCAGCATCTCAGTGTGACAACATGTCAGAATGTTGGCGTGGCCCATGCCGGCGGAATGCCATGTTGAAACCACACAAGCATATCAGTGTGACAACGAAAACATAGCCTACCGGCGTGGCAACACCTGACCCCGAAGCTTCGCTGGGGAAAAAGATTGTAAGAGAAGTCTCTGAAGAAAACAAGCATCCTGGCTCCTAGTAGCGATGCCAGGAGCCCCTAGTAGCTTCTTGCTCCTAGTAGTACGGCCAGGAGCCCCTAGTATCTACGATTTGCCAAATCAGATATCGGGGTGATCCATGATTGTTTGGAGCTTCGATCTGAAAAAGGTGTTGCGGATCGCAGACCGTCGGGACCGTTTCGACCAGTCCGACCCAGGCGACTCATGAAGATGCCCTGATTTTTTCGGGGCATGGCACTACAGGCTGAACAGAGTGTCAATATGTCAAGCGGAGCAGTTGAAACCTGGTGAACAGCATGTGATGTTCTTCAGTTGCATCGGTTGTCGGGCAGTTTGGGGTTGAGAGGACGGCCTACCAAATGGTCGCAGGAGAATTCGGGGCAGGTTGCAACATTTTGTTCGACGGTTGCATTGTGGGAGCAAGTTGCATTTCAAGATCATGGACCTCCCACGTGTGGGGACTGTGTTTGAGTACGAAACCGGTATGAAAAGTTAGCTTGAAAAGTTAGCTTGAAAAGTTTACTTCACAATATATAGTGTGTTAATATGTGTTAATAAAGGGAGTGACGTTAGGGGGAATTGTTCGCTCTGAGAATTTGTGGTTACTTTTTCAACTGGTTTTGCCATTACGCAGGAATGCGTGACAGATCTTTGCAGTTCAGCAGTCAACTGGTTCAACGAAGTGTGTCGATCATTTTATATACATACCACAAAAAGAGTATATATGTCCTTTAAACTTTAGACACGTTTGCACCTTCATTTTGGATGTTTAGCGAGTTTTCAGCTTCCTAGTTCTAGACACCTGGCACTGACTGGCAAGGTGCGGTGCAGAAGTTCGTGAGCATTATGTGTCGATCCAACTGGCTTTTACCATCCTTCCAGGAGAGCACAAGTTTGACCTTCCAGATGGAGAGTCATTTCTGCCAAAGCCAAAGGAACCCAATCAGATCCAGAAACAAGTCTGGTCTGATTTTCCGACTAAAGGAATTCTGAGACTGCTTTGCTGTTTTGTTTCAAGTTGTGGCATGGGCAATAGAGCCTAACAATTGTTGGTTTTCCATACAGGGTTCCTGGCAAATGTTGTGGAGTCACTGTACTATTGCTCGGCTTGTTCGGCTTGCCCATGCCATTCTCGATTTGTGTCAAGCTTGAGGATGGAGATTCAGCGGGCGCTGAGGTATCTGAATCTCGGAGTGAGG